AAGGCGAACGACGTGGAAAGAAGTGCTCGTCGGACCCTCAGAACCTGCCATGGTGAGAAAGCTGATCAGCTTGCGAACCCGCTGATTGCAGCCTGATTGTCCTCATTAGAGCCGTTGAAATGCCAAGTCAGGCCCCGGTCCCGGCCCGCGAGGTCCTGAGATGTCGAAGCAGTTCCAACCCCGCTCCCTGCCTCCTGATCCTCACCATCGTCCGTCACCCCGACCCCCCAACCGACCCGACTCCGTGGACCCCCCAAACCACTCTCCCTGGAACGAAGCATTTATAAGTGGAAGAAAACCACCCACCAATGGTGCTTCCTTTCAGCCTGGCTGAGCGCGGGGGCCATCCACCCACCCCTCCTGTGAGCTCAACTCCACACCTGGGCTTCGCCCGGCCTTCCGTGGGTCGGCCGTGGAGCAGAGCTCGAGGTCATGACCTGGGGGGGCCTGCGTGGAGCGGTCGGCCTTGCGCTGGTGTTGTCCATGCGGGAGTTGCTGATGCAGCAGGGCAAGCAGGAGACGGCACGGCTCATGGCACCTGGGACGGCAGGGGCGACGGCGGCAGGGGCGACGGGAGGTTCGGAGGAGGACGGCACCGCCGGGGCGGGGGCGGAGGAGTTGAAGCGAACAGAGCGGAGCGCGCTGGACTTGGATAGATGAGGATGACATGAGAGGTGAAGAAGCGGGGGCGAAACTGAAGGTCAGACCGTAAGACCTCTTCTCCCAATATTTGGATGTATTTAGTAGTTGTGGATTCGTCGCGGCCGCGGCAGGTCTTCTTTGTCTCGGGCTTTGCTGCCCTCACATTGTTGGTGAATGCCACAACCTGCAGTTTGCTCTTGAAGTGCTTGGGTCTCACAAAGACGCCTGAGGCTGGGGGCTGGGGCTGAGATTGAAACAACTGCAACCGAAACTGAATTGAGAAGGTTCTGAAGGATCTGGCTCGGGCCAGGTGTGCCATCAGCAGGTGAATGGTCGAGTCGGGACTTATATAGTTGCTCCAGGCTTTCAGGTATGAATCAGGTATGATTATGATGGCTCCACCGCCGCCGCCACCCCACCCAAAATGGATCAAACTGGACAGGCTCAGAGTGCAATCCTGGAGCGTCTTCGTCATGAACTGCTACTTGACACAACCACCAGGCGTCATGAAAGACTTCATGCTCAGATCCCAAGAGCTGCGTAGACTCAAAGATGTTCCGAAGCAAGGCCCAAGACGTCCCCCCAAATCAGCTGCCTTCGTTTCGAACCTGGCCCAGCTGCCAAACCGAGGTTTGTGGTGTCTCGAAGAGCCTTCACCGATTCACTCGACTGCGATGGCCGTTTCAAGGCGGTGAAGGAGAGTCTCAGCTGGCATTGGCCTGGCTGGGTCGTCCACCGGTGGGGGGGTTCACGCCAAGAAGGAACATCATGATGGATCCGACGCCGACCTCGGTGAACCTTGCAGGGCGAGCTCCAGGGTGAACAGTTTTGTTGACAAAACACAAAGTGCGGACGGCAAGCGGTGCGGCGCTATTCCCAGAGCAAGGATCATTTGTTGTTTAAAAAACCCAACTTTTTGGCACCGTTTTGTTCTTCCATGCCCTGTCATGCGGGGGTGGCTCAAGAACGGTTTTGCCAAGGAGGACTCGCCCAAAAAACATGGATCGTTCGTGTCAAGTGTGCTCACAGAGCCACCCCCCCTTGTGGTCTCGCCGCCTAGGGCCAAGATCTTTCGCCATGAACATGACTAGTGACTAGTCTTTTTTTGAGAGCCAAGGCGTGAAATCAATCACATGCTGGAGCACTTGAACGCAGAGTTGGACGAACCACATGAGGACACTGCCAGACGTCGACCAGAGTTGACATGGTTCAGCCGATCTGTGAGTTGACCTATGAGTCGACCAAGCTGAGGAGATGGTGGACCATCAGCCGTTACCAGTGGCTCGAATCTAGTGTCACAATCGTAGTCCTTATATGCCTTACATATACGTGTCACATAGCCGTGTAAGTGAACATCGGGAGGAACACAGAAAATATTGCCAGGAGGTATTATTGCCAGATGAGATAGATGACCGAAACACATGCCTTGGAGCCCATGAGGTCCGACGAACGCAGGCTTTTTCGCACGCAGCTAAGTGACGGACCCCAGGAGTGGAGCATGAAACTGATTGGTGCTGGGAGATGGACCCTTTCAGGCCGGGAACTCCAGATGTTGGGGAGATTTCAAGATGTCTTTCAACATCTCGAAATCAGACATGACATCTTAGACATGGATGGACACAAGGAGAGAGGCTTCTGAACTTTTCTTGGTGGCTTCAGAATTTGCGGTCTTCGAGTTGTTTCCAGATTTGAGGTGCATTTGTTTTGGTGCCGCATGCGCGAACCAGTCCAGTTTTTCTTGCATGGTCACCGTTTTTTTCGCTGGTCGGTTGGGTGTTTTGGGTAAAGCCTCGGCGGTACGTCCAGTGCAGGCCTCACCGTGTCCAACAACATCAACCCCTTTGCGGTACGTCCAGCCCCCGAAGGCTCGGGAAAGGCAAAGGGGAGGAACCCAGGCTGGCTTGGCTGGTATGTCCAGCCCCTCGACATGTGTCAGAAAACTGGAAGATCTTCTGCAGAAGGTGTGTGTTTTTTTAAGCATCTACCCACCGGAACAGCAATTTCGCAACTTCTTGCCCAGGTGAACGTCATCGCAACTGCATTGAACCGATGGCAACTGCTCTTGACTGGACGCCCCTTTCCGATCCCAAAGAGCGAAGGACAATTCCGGACGTTGGGTGACGAATGCGACCAAATGCCCTGCCTAGCAGAAGTCCAGGTGCAGAGCCCGAGAAGCAAGAAGAGAAGCCAGAGGAGAAGCCAGAGGAGAAGCAAGACAAAGGTTCCCAAGACGCAACCAGTTCCAGTAGCTCTGCCAGCTCTGCTTCTGATGCTTCTTCCTGCTCTCTCTTAAAGGCCCCCACTCTAGGGGCCTTCTTCGTGGGGCGCCAGCGTCACGTGCAGCGCTCGTGAGGCCGAACGTCAGCGCTCGGTGCGGCACCACCACGGCGCTCAAGTATACAAGCATGGGCCACTGAGCTGAGGATTATTGCTTGAACATGCGAAAGCCAGGGCATCAAGGCATCAAGCCAGCGGAGAGGCGGCTTTTGGGTCGGAACACATCCAAGGGGTTCTCTAGAAATACCGTGGGAAAGACGTTGCGGGGGGATGTGTGGTGAGGTGTGTGCATTTGGGTACTGTGTGGGGAGCCATCATATTTCGGCCCAATCGGCTCAGGTTTTGCAGGTGGGCATTGCAAAACACGGTCTTTGAGAGGGTCTTGGTGTGTTCTGTTTGCAATTTCTTGGGAGATGTGGTTGAGTCGAAGGTAAAAAATGTTCCCAATTTTTATGGGGTGTTTTAAAGCTTGCAGACACGACATGCGGCGGAGCTTTTGGGATTGCACCTCATGCGGGAGGGGTTCTGCAACCTCAAGAAGACACGGCCGCAATTCATAATTTCACTCAAAAGAAAGCCAAAAAGTCATTCGAAGTGTTGCGCGGCTTCCTCCTGTGTGTAACAACACACTTTGTTTTGCCGTTTTTACCTTTTTTTTAAAGCTTACCGCGCCTGGCTTTTTGCAAGTGACGCCTGCGTACTGGTGTGTCCAATTTTCACAACCGCCTGAGGGCTGAGCCCCAAGAGTATATTGTGCCTAGGGTGGCAGTAAAGCCAGGCACTTTGGAATGGTTGGAATGCTCCGTTTATAGATTGGTGCTTCTGAAAAAGCTCCTGATGGACTCGCATTTGGCTTTCGTTCCCTCCCTTCTCAGTTTACAGGTCCGAAGACTAGAACTACGTTTCAAGCAAGATATCGAAGCTATAGGCCTTTAGGATCTTTAGGCCAAACTTTTTTTTTGGTTGTGAATGACAAAAACAATGACTTTCAAGCAAGCTGCACGTGATTATGCGAGCTGTTGCTTAGTCGTATGTCTCCTGATGCTTTTAAGCTTAGTCGTATGTCTTCGGACATGCTCACATGCTCCCAACGTGTGACCTTTTTCTGTGTTAGGCTGCCAAGCTTATGGACATGCTATATGGGTTCATTCGGTCCAGGGAATCCGAGGTTGGCCAGTCGTACAAACCATTATACATCAGGAAGCTGTGCCGCGCCTCGATCAGGCACACCTAGAATCCCACATCTTGGGTCTTCGCCACGCTTTTCGCCACCAGCTATCATCCTTTTTTGCATGGTCGGACCGTTGGTTTCTTGTGACTTTTTCAGTTCGCAAGTGGTCAAGTGGTGTTGGGGAATCACCTGGAAAACACCCAATCCCCCAATCTCCATGGACATCATCCCATTGGTTGCATTTTAAGCGGGTTCCCAAGGACCACCACTGGTGGTGGGGCTTTGAGGAGATCAAAGTGGTGTCTTGGCGCGACGAATCAAGCGACAAAAAAAGAACGACCGGGTAGGTGCTGAGGTCGACCGAGAGGTTGCCCCAGTGAAAAACATATTTTATTTTTGCGAAATCAGATATATATGTATATATAAAGGGCTGACGCCCTGGTGCCGCCGACCCTTATTTTCCAGGAGCAAGCTACAAGTGCCCACCTTGTGTACTGAATAGGCAATTGGGCTCTCAGGGGATTTGGCGGGTTTGATCTGGTGGCGAGACCGAGCGTTGCCTATCAAGGACCGTGAGGCCACCTGGACTAGACAGACGAGCCAAGAGAGGCCGTTTTTGGATCTGAGCACGGAGCAAGATGAAGGAATTCATTCGGCGTCAGATGGGAAGCACTACTTGCAACAGATGGTTACTGTATTTATTGACCAACTCCAAAACCATAATTACCTCCCACCTATGATCCTCTATGCATCACTATGAAGTATAGGATTCTGCTATACTTGATCGGGTCGGAAGAACATGGGCTGGGCTCTTCCCCCGATCGATCTACATCCACAGTGACCTAAACCCTGTCCAGGCAAGCTGGGCAAGCTGCGCCGGGGTCCCATCAGGAGACTAGACATGATTGATCGATCATCAAAAGAAACGTGTGTTTCCTGGGTGGTGGTTTCAGACATTTGTATCTTCCATCTCCGTTTCTTTTTCGATGATTCTTCACCCACTGACTCATGTGTTTCGTGAGTTGAAACCACCTAGTAGTTGGACATGGCAACATGATGCAACATACTTTTGACTCTGAAAGACCGAATCTTACCCAGACTTGCCCCTGAAAGACTCTGAAGAGGAGCGGGAGGTCTTTCGGAAGCTCTTTATGTCCATGTTGCGTCTCTTGGAGAATTCCAAGGGTTTCTGAGGAGGGTGAATATTATGATTGATGATCATTCGAGAGTTGCAAAGAACTGTTAGAAGATCCAACTGTTTTGATGGAACATGATCGAACTAACACATTCTGGACGTTTTTTGTTCTTTTTTCCGCTTTGCTTTAGTATTTTTTCCAATGTCTTTTTCCTTTTCCTTGGAGACATGTCACATGTCAAAGGTGCCGAGTATGTGCGGCTGATGGATGTGGGAATGCTTCCAAGACGAGCTTCAGGAGATACGTATGTGTGGTGTTGGTTTGACAAAGTCTGCTTCTTGGAAAGGTGTTCTTCCCTTTCAAAGTCTTCATTCCAATTGATTCAGCAAACTCTATCCCTGTCTATATTTCTTTTTCGAGAATTCAAGGAATTGATGTTTTGAATTCCTGCTGAAACTGTGGGGTCTGTGCTGTTTTTTGTCCTCGGACTGGGGCTCTCATGTTTGGGTTCATCGGCTGAGCAAAGGAACCACGCCATCTATGCTGAGTTTTATGTAATATGTCACATGTCAATGTGACCCTCCTGCAGATTCACCACTTCACATGGACTCTCAAAACCACTGGGTGTTTTTAGAGGAAGGAACATCACCGCCGTCTCCTTTTGGAGGTCCATGTTGGTCTACCGGGGTCGTTTGTTCTTTTCGGCTTGGGCGCAGGCGCTGAGCACCTCTTGGCGTCGGTGGATGCTGCGGACGACTGGGCGGCCGTGCGTTTGAACGTGCCGTAGTCAACGGGTGTTTCCAACGGGTGGGGCCTGAGGTTTGGTGGGAGGAGTCTTGGGAGGAGTTTGGTGCACGAATTGGAACTTTTTTTAAAGAGATATTTTGGAGCCGTAGTTTTTCAAGCAACAGGATTGACAGAGAAAACACTCTCTTGGTCTTTCCGCAGGCAATCTGATTGGAATGATTCAGAGTCGTTTCGGGCCATGCCCTCGCTCTCCGGCCTAGGATTGGACGATCTTGGAAAAGAAACTCCCACGTCGCAGCTTGGCGTGTTGGATTGAGCATCAGAGTTTCGCAGATCCCGGGTGCATAGAAAATCATTTAGAGATGGCAGCAAGTTCCTGGCCACTAAGGAGCAAGCTGGATACGAGTCAAGGCAATGCGTCTCGAGTTTGGCATTGCTATTCTGTTTTTTGAATTGGCAAAGGAGGCTTTGGCGTCTATTTTCGATTGTCCTTGTGATTTCCACAGATGCTTTGTTGGGCCATCGATGGTGAGCGCTGCATGTCACAGGTGCGCGAGATGCTCTCACCATACTTTGTGAGCCTTCTTCGCATCCAGTCGTATTGTCATCATAGAGACAGAGACTTCTAGTTTCTGGCTACAAGATTCCCAACAACAGTTATATATATAGAGGAAGCATGTACCTCACGCAGTGGGTTTCTCGATTTACTTCCGAAGCTCAGGTTTTGCCCTGTTGAGATTAATGGAGGTTCACATTTCTTTGATCTCTTCACTGTCGTGGCCTTCATCGACGCGCATCACACAGCTTCTTTGCGCTGTATGCTTAGCTGTAGATTTTCTTGGTCTTTTGTGGACTCCCATTCAGACGATTTTCCCATGACTTCTTCGCGCATGGTCCACCTGTTTTTCACTTTGTGTTGTGCCCACCATCCAGCACAAAGAGTCACGTCAATGTTTTGGTTTGTTTGTTTGTCTCTTCTTTTGAAGACGTGCTAGTAGCTGAGTCGTGCCACTTCCGAATCCACATCTCTACGAGACTTGTGACAAACTGCAGGTTTGTCATGGACTACTGCAGAGTGACTGGTTCTCCACGGATGCTCGTAGCGACGTCATCGAGGAGTCGCTGGCAGATGCTTGGGTAGCAGGCCACCAGCTGCCAGCTGTAAATGCGTTGAAAGACTCTCTTCTCGCTTCCTTTGATGCCAATTGAGCCGATAGATGCTGGAGAAGAAAGATACTTTGCTTATCTTTGCTTGTGGCAAGCTATTTAAGACATACTCTTTGGGTCAAGGTGGCACCTTCGAAACTGAGGAACTTGAAGCTGCTCGATCCTTTGTCGCACTGGCTCCCTTTACAAAAATTTGATCTCAGATTCAAGTCATTCACACCTGACCTGATTCACACCTGACCTGATTCACACCTGACCTGATTCATTCACACTGACCTGCATATTCTTTTGGGTGCTACATGTGAGACCAAGGAAAGTTTCTCAAAGAGAATCGTGCATGCCTCAGTTCCGTGACGAAAGCAAGACACTTAGACCACCGATGAACTCAGATGTTCTGACGTGGGGTGTCTGCACCACGTGTGGTGTGACGCAAGGCGTTGGAGAGCGGGACATCAGCAAAGTGCATGCCTCAGTCCAACCAGAGGATGTCTACACAAACACATTTTTTCCCTGACATGACCAAGACCCAGACCTGCAGATTAGGCCATTTAGCATGGAAGTCAGGCTGACAGTTGGCCTCAGCTGGCCCTGACACGATCTGAAATGTCACATGCGAAGTCCGCCGAATGCACCGCAAGCAAAGTCGCCTGGGGAGCCGCTGACGGTCGGAGCCGATGTTCGCACGCTCGGATTGTGCCGTGGTCTCCAGGTTCGTACGCTACAGCTGGCCAGCATGCTCTTCCAGACGCAGCAGGATGCATTTGGTCATCATTTGGCCATCATTTGTGGATTTTGGGACATGGCCATCATGCTGGTCATCATTTTGACTGGTATTCAGGGCATGCGGGTGCTTTTGTTTTTTTGGGGGGACTATGTCCAGCACGTTTGATGTTTGACGACGTTGGTGCATGACATTTTTGTTTTGTGTGTGTGCCTTGCAAAAACAAGAGGATCAAGACATTCTCTTCACGTCATGAGTGTCGTTGCCCTCTTGCAGCCTTCAAGTTATGAGTCGCAGGATCAAGTGGAGAAGTGGAAGCAACAGGGTCTTTGGTCAGCAATTTCTTTTTGACCAACTGCACTGCCTAACTGCCTAACCACTGTTTTGAAGCTGGCTACCACATATAGAACCTGGCCAACCATGGACGTAGTCGCAACAAGAAGCTGCCACCATCGAGTCCTTTTTGTGCAGCTGGAAGTGACTTCACCGGTCCTTCTCGACCATCTCACTCAGCCTCTCCAAGTGTTCCTTGCACCCGTAAAGAAGGGGAGATGCGTCGACCGAAAGTCCATGGCTTCGTCAATGGGGTGATGAAGTTTTCCCCGGCATTTGTCAGATCCTCCCGCTCCATCTGATACGCCCTTGTTCGCCCTTTTTCGATCCAGGTATCATTTCGGCGAAGGAAATGGAGGCAGGAAGCTGAGCTGCTTCTGCCACCCGAGTTACGCGGTTTTTCCCCCGCCTGGTTCGAGGCTGCCACGTCCGGTCGCCTTGGCCCGTTAGGAGTTGCTCCACCTGGTGAAGCACGGCCTGGACCGGTCGGAAATGATCTTGAAGAAACAGGCGGGTGGCGGGTGCCCCAAAGAACCTCACGAGAAAAGACCATCAAACCGCTTGTTTGGGTCATGTCAAGCCCGTTCATGGTTTTCACTTAACAAAAGCGCTCAATTTGGTGCTTTGTGCGACCGCCGGTGTCTTTGAAGACCGCCACAGAGGATCGTCATGTGACATGGCCGTTTGTCTTTTCCGGCCATGGGATGGGCGGAATCGAAATCGATGTACACGCGAAAGGAAGACATAGCGATGAAGGAAAGCCCTTCTCGGAATGAGTTCTGCCATTTGCTGCATGAGGTTCTCGGAGATGAAGAGGCTGCGGCTATGTTGGGTTATGTCACATTCTGTCGTAGTTTTTCAGTCGTCAACATTCACTTGAGGATCTGGAGGGGGGTTCTGACAGTGACATCCACAGACACGCTCACCAAGGTTTGTGGAGTTTTCGGTCCCGAAAATCCGGACGAACCATGGGTAGTGCGATGCATCTAAAGGCTCTCAAGTGAAATCCCCCAAACATGGGGTAGTGATGCATCTAAAACAAGTGCACCATCACTCGCTTGTTCTGTATCGTGGTGGCTGGATCCAATCAAATCTCTAATAAGGAGGCTAAAAGCCACCCTTCTTCCTCACTTTTGTCGCACCGTGGGTCAGTTCTGTCGCACAGTGGTAGTTGCTGCCAGGTATCTCCCAAATCGTCCAGGAAGATGACCTTTTCCACCCTCGTCCGACTCCTACCGGGCCGATGAGACACGCGCGGATCCCCGAGCGGCGAGCGGTGCGAAGCCCGAAAGGGCGGTGGGCGGCGCCCGTCACCCAGTGGGCCTTAGGTGCATGACATTGACATGTCTGGTGCCGCTCATGACCTTCAGCTCTCTTCGGAGCGGTGCTGTGCATTTGAAAGCGGAACTCCATTCTTTGGCGCATTTGGATGTCCCTGTTTGGCGCAGAAGGCCCAAAGAGGCACATTGCGTTTACCGTTTGAGGGACGAACGAAACACCATTTGTGTACCATAGTCGCGTATAGCTTTCATGGTGGCCGAGCCGCAACATCCTTTCAATGCTTTGTGAATAGACAGACGTGGCTAATCCGATAGAGAATGGATCACCTCTTACTGCTGAAGCTGTTCTGTAAGGTGGCTTAGCTTCACTGAAGCAGGTCCCCCAACTTCATGGACTACTGCTGAAGCTCGTGCTATGTGGCACTTTGATTAAGCATAACACTGCGAAGTTCGCCTCAAGTAGAAAAGCTCAACCAAGCTCGAGCTCCTTGGGCCACCTTGGGAGGCATCATGGGTTGAGGAGGAACAACCAGGAGCAAACAATAGACTATAAAGTAACTTAAAATCTATAAAGCTACCAGGCAAAGTGTTTTGTAAAGTTTCTCAACGACTTTGCAGATCTTCATCCCTGCACGTCCAGATCTTCCTCATTTCACCTTCTTCACAAGTGGTGGGCCATGACTGAGTCATGTGGGTGGGGTAGTTCCTGCGTCACTCCAGAAGTTTTGGGCAGGGCGTGGCTGGGACGAAGCTCGATCTCATCCTTTTTGGATAGACATCAGGTCCAAAAGCTTGAGGCCATGGATGATCCATTCTTTTCAGATCCTCTGCCGAAGGCAGTGGGAGCATATTGTGTTGTCACACCTTGCTATTGGATTTGAGATAGATATATAGATTGTAAATTAGAGTAGAATAGAATGCAATGGAATATTGAATAGAGTCGAACAGAAATGAATGAATAGTAGAATGGAACAGAACCGAACAGAATAGAATAGAATAGAATGACAGATAGATGAGATAGAGATAGAGATAGAGATAGAGATAGAGAGATAGATAGATAGATAGATAGATAGGTACATAGATCATACACACACATCAAGCACACCCACACACACGGATATATATATATATATTGTATATATACTTACCGTATTTTGACTATTGGTCGTCCAGGCCTTGGTCAAGTTGACTCTGACAGTTCCAGTGGCAAGAAGAAAATACAGCAGCAAAGGTCCTGCATTGAGCGTCATTCCTGCGGACGCAGATGTGGCTTCCAGTCACATCAAACTGGCATGCTCTGAAACATTCGGAGAAAAAGCCTTTTACATCGTTTGCTTGTTACATTTTTGTCGTCATTCTCCACTTTGTCGAGCATCACTGTCAAGTGCACATGTGCACATGTGCTTCAGGGCATGGAGTGTGGCGATCCAGAGAACAAGAGGCTGGAGCTTTGTCAAAGAGCTTCATCCAAGTCCATGAATCACAGGTCGTTTGCAAGCAAGGTTTCGGCTGACATGAGTGGCCCAAAATAAAGCTGGCCATTGTGGAAAACAGTGGAAGAGAAGGAGCGCGTGACACCCCCAGGGCGTTCTGTGTGCTTTTAGCATTTTGGGTACACACACACAGATTCATGTATATATACTGTGTATATATATACATATGTGCACACATACACGTATGTCCTGCATACTGACGGAGGAATCGTGATGGATATCGTGGCCAACTGAAGGGCAACGCTGCCTTTGCCTGAGACAGATTGCTGGTTCATCTCGGTTTCATTGGTTCTCAGATGATGATGCAATCAAAGCAACAGTGGCAACCACTAGTTACCTTTACCTTTTTGACAGGTCCTTTCCTGATTTTCATGGCCATGTCACATCCGCTCCTGCACGATCGGTTTCGGACGGCCGCGGTGCGCCGAGGAAGGCCTTCCACCCGCGTTGAGCGTGCGAAGCCTCCGCGTTTCGCGCGTTTTGGGCTGGCTCCGGAGAAGTTCTTCCAGCGCCCTGAGCGCTGGAAGGCTCCCCACCTGGAAAGCCTGCCCGAACCTTGGCCAGTTTGAGTGATGCTTCAGGTGATTGTCATTTTTTCATGCGTGAATTGCTCTGGCTCTATTGACCTTGTTGACCACCACAAGACTCAGGACCCTTGAGTTCCAAGGCTTCAATTCCAATTCATCCAGTCCAGCCGTGTTTTGGACTGTGGAATGCTAGGTATTTTTCTCAGAACTGGGGACCCTGGTTGATCACCAAAAATGAACAGAATCGGCTACCTGGGAGGTCAAGCTACCCTGGTTCGGAGCTCCCGGTCTCCCACGGCCATCTCTCAAAGCCCTCTTGTTCTGAGGCCTTCAGCTCAGACGCTCATCTCCGCGTGGGGCGGGCACCGCCGCGGGACCGGCGTGGTTTCCGGCGGAGAAAAAGATGAGCCGGGACGGGTGGGGTGGTAGGTGGTGGTGGGGGTGGCAGGTATGTTTGGGGGTGGTGGGTAGTAGCTTGATGTAGCTTGGGGCCTTGGGGTGATTCTTTTCGAGTGTTGGGGAAAGACAGTGGGAGATCCCGGTTGTGGACCATGCACGAGGCTCGGTGTTTCATGCTTTAAAAGCTCAACATGGATCAAGTCCATGCAAGGTGCATTCCCAAGATCTGTAAGTTGGGGTTCCATCAATCTGGTACATATCACTTATCACAGTAATGCGTCTACAAAAAGACGCATTCTTTAGGACCTGGCTCATTATATATTCATTATTTGAGACATGTGCAAGGGTGGGAGCAAATTAGGCCATGTGCGGCTGGTGGCTGGGTGATTCCCGTCTCCGAGGCCGAGGCCGGTGGGCGTGTTCCGAAGAGACGGCCCGCCATGTCCAGCTTTTGGCTGCGCCCTCGTCATACTGCAGCCATGGCGGGATCGCGCCCCCGTCATATAGCAGCCAAGATCTTCCAAGCAAGAGTCTGCAGGCTTCCTACTGTCTAAGCACAAGAGAATGAGATCATCGCGTTTCTACAGGCGCTTGCTAAGCTCGTAGTTTGCTAAGTTAGGTTCTTGTTTTCCTATTACTGTAGTCTTGTTAGACTTTGATGCTTTTGACTTTTGGTTTGGGCCCCCCATATCTCTTTTGTCTCGTTGACTTCTGGGGTGACCACCGTATCCCTCGTCCAGCGAACTCAGTGAACTCCTAGACAGTTCTATGCAAGTATTGAAGGAACTTCTGAATTCCACGCGAGACGCACGATACTTGGGAGATGGAATTTGCAGCATCACTCTGACCCGCCCACACGTCACCGAGGAAGGGCGACTTCAGTACCCCAAAAAGATCCCGAACCGTCCCACACACGTTTGGTCCGACCAAAAACCGCGTCTTGTCCACTCAACGTCACTTGGACCAAGCTGCTTCTTCTTCCCCCTATCGACCCTTGGGTCCTCGCCCCCCACTTTTCCTCCCTGGCGGCGCCATGGAGCGTGAGAAGTCTTTGTGGTACATCTGCCGGGAGGCTGCGTGGAGCGCCTCCCAGTCGATGGAGGAGAGAGACGAGACAGACGAGAGAGGTGGAGGGAGGGGGGAGGCGGTGAGGCGTGACTCTGACCGACTGTCCACCGATGGCGGGGTGGCTGGACGAGGATTCCAAGGGAGTTCAAGGTGGAGGGGAGCAGAAACATCGAAACCACAAAACAGCTGTGAAAGTCTCGGCCTCCCAGAACCTCCACTGGTACTGTCCTGCAGGGCGCAGGCCTGGAAAAGGGTCCTCCACTTGAACCGAAGCCAGCCCAAAAGTGCGGGACTCCCCGGGCAGCGCTTGCTTTGGGTGTTCAGGACCCGCTAGTGCAACAACAGGCAGCTGAAGGAGCAATCCTACGAGCGAAGGCGGCCTTTGTCGCGTATCCCTTAGATGCGCCGTGGGCGGCACGACAGTTCCACGGGCCGCCGAGAGACCAAGCGGGGGGGTCTGCATGAGACGAGAAGGGGTGCCGCTTTGCTTCCCGGGGGTGGCACGAGATGCTTGCGGCGGGGGCTTCATGAAAACGCAAACGTTCGTAGATAGAGAGAGTCCATTTGCAACAGTTTCTGAGCTTTTTCAACCAAACACATCCATCATCCATGTCCAAAGCATATATGGAATGGCCGCGAGGGCCAGGTGGATCTCTAAATGACCGCTTCGAACACCGCGAAGTTCCGGATCACAGCGGAACGCAGCGGAGTCACCGAGGTCCTCAAGACCCAGGTGCAATCGGGGCATCCGCGCTACAACCGGCTCACGCGCTTGCCGTGCCTCGTCAAGGATTACAAGCTGAAGATCTTCCGGGGCTACCCAGGAGCCGCGGACCGTGTTCGGGACCGTGTTCCGAAAGCCATTTAGGCAGGTGACTGGCAAGGCCCGAACGGCTGTGCTGGAAGCGTTCCAGTTTTCTGGGATGCCCTTCCAAGTTCAAAGGTCTGTGGAAAGATGAGAGAAACGTAAGGCATTCAGTTCCGAAGCGATCGCCCTTCTCGGAACTGTTCTGCCGTTCTGTACGTCAGAACAGTAGGTTTTGCAAAGCTGGTTGGGGGAATGAGTTGGCATGTGCCATATAGTTGGATCCAGATCCTTCGCTTGAAGGATGGGAGTGTTTTTTCTTTCCACTCGCCCTTCAGCCCGTTTGACCAGGAGTTGGTGCCAATTCCTTCCTCATGGGCGCTTTGATGTTCGGTGGCTACCGATTCTTCGACAACTTTTGGGCCTTGTACCAGGCAGCGGTTGGCTTTGAACACTGGGTTGCCGAGGTCACGATGCAGCTTCTCATCATTCTTCTTGTTCATGTGGCTGCTGTTTTGGATGACCTGCTTATGGCAAATCGAGTTGACACATTCATACCATGTAGCTCAATTGTATTCAATCGTGCCTGATTCATCCTGAAAGTCAAGAAAGTAATATTTTGCTCTTAGGCTCATGCAGGCAGCAGACTGCGGAAGCTTGACAATATGCATCAATGTATCCATCTCTGTCGATGGACAACCTGTTTTCTCTAGCTTGACGCCCATGTGTGCCACGAGCAAACAGCTGATGATGTAGGCCTGTAGGCTTTGAATAGGTCTTGCGGATGCTCCGGAGGGGGAATGAGAGGGGCCTGGATAGGCCTGGACCTTCAAGGAGTCTGTCCTTCAGATCCATCTGCACCAGGTGCCCGACTACTGGCGCCCGGCCGTGGCGGGCGGCAGTATCGGCGCGCTGTGCGGGCTGGCGGCGACGCCGCTGGAGCAGGTGAAGACCATCATGGCGCTGCAGGTCGGGAGCAGCGTTCCAGCCAGGTTGCTGGAACCCCCCCGAAGAGAGTATAAGGGCATAGCTCAACCAGGGAGATCTCCCAGCTCGTCCCCCTCAAAGAAGGAAACTAGACCACGACCTCCCTTTGAAAGCACACGCCCCAATAAAGAAATGCACCTGTTTTTCCTGAATGAACCTAGGCCACTAGATCCTTTCTGTACCTGTCTTTCACGCCAGGAGTGGTTCTAGAACACACAGTTCTCATTGGTGCCGGTCGCAGACGATCTAGTCTGGGGGTCCGATCCAGTGCCAGCTGCGTCAACTCATCAGACGTGTCAGACCCTTCCGAAGGTCAGACCGCTTGGAGGATCCTCACGCGTCCCTGGATCTCTTTGGAAGGCAACGACTCCTCTCGTTGGGTGCTGGCACCGTCGTGCTTGTGTTTGGTCGCCGCCTTCGTTTTCCAGGAGACCTGGCTGAAGGAGCGCAAGATCACCAAGCGAATCTATGGCTCGGTGCTGCAAGGCGCCTGGAAGGCACCTTTGTCCCTGAAGTTCTATGCTGCCACACCGCTGGTGATCCGCACGGCGCTCTTCGATAGCCGCACAGCGGGAAGCTTTCGGGTGCAAGGGAAGAGGAAGGGGTTAGACGTGGTCCTGCTTCTCTAACCGTTAGAGAAGCAGGACACACCACGGCTTTCGGCAAGAAAGAGTGCCGACGGTGCGGAGCATCACTAAGACGGTGGTTCATGGAAAATGCTCCTTTCGCCGATCTGCTCGCCTCGGTGTTTGATGTCTTGAAACTGTTTTTGGATACCTTCCTGGTAGCGCACTGGAGGTGTTTTTTCAAGAAGGACCTCTCCCAGATCCTGGTCGCCTATAGAGTCTAGAGATTGGCAAGGTGGCTCTTTTTTGCCCCTCGCCCTCTTTTTTTGGGAGAAACTGAAGGAGGGCTTCTTGCCACTACTGCCCAATGACCCAGTGGCTATCGAATTGTGAATCCAAATGCTTGTTTGGGTGGCTGGAAGCTAACCATGCTAACCCTTGCCACCAAGGTCAGCTCTTCTTCTACAACAGCCGGCTTCGTGAGTGGCTCCACAGCGGCGCCTGCCCTGAGAACCTCCAGTTCCTTGTGAGCAGCGTGGCAGAAGAATGCCTCAAAACCCGACCAACTGGCTCGCTCCTATGCCCTCACGGTGATGTGAGGAGCTGTTTTGGGGATCGGTTGAAGTTTAGAGGACACTTTTACAGATCTAACCGGCATTAGCCTCAAAATCACTCACGCTTTGTCAGCAGCTCCTCTTGCTCTTTTTTCTCGCCCTAGCTTTTGGCAAGCAGCAAGGTAGTTTATCAGTTGTTACCTTTTGAATGTTGCCCTTTGTTTCAAGACCCCTTGTGCGACTCCAATGTCCTCTACAAACACCGACATCTTCTCTGCCGAACCCCTAGTGAGGAGCCTAGCAACCGTGTGGAAACTCTAGTGCTGAACCTGCTGACTTATTGCAGCTGAAAAAGCGTCGTCAACGACTAGTATCTACCACCCAGCTGCCACGATCTCCATCGACCGGCGTGGAATCGCGGTGCCGCACCAACGGTTGGGGTCATCCTGCGGCAATTGGCTGAACCATTGAACGCAATAGATTAAAATAAAGAAGCCTGACTCAAACAATGCAACACTGGGTGAAAACACCGTTTATCCATTGCTCTTCTTCCCACCCAGTTCTCTGACCCATTTTGGGAGGCTCTGACCAGTTTGGGCACTGGATGGCACCCAGCTGCACCCCCACCAGCTGCTTCACTGTCACTGCCATCCAGGCACCTTGGGCTTCATGCTGGCGGGCCTCGTGGGCGCCACCGTGAACTACCCCTTCGATCGTGTGAAGGGGCACATGATGGGCCGCGCCTTCCAGGCCTCCATCGGCGAGAAGCCGAAGGAGAGCACCTACGGCGCCTTGGTACACCTCGGTTTTTGGTTGGTTTGGGGGAGGGCCTGGAAGTCGGAGGCAGTGAATGGCGTACCCGAAGCAGTTACCATGCAGTTTAATCGGATGATAGGTAGGTCCAGCATGCCTTGGTGGAGGGCTGGTTCTCGGCCTTTTTGGAGGTCCACCCACGTGTGGAGCACGGGTGCGTCCGGTCGCGTCCGACCGTTGAGGCGCTTTTGCCTCGGTGGTGCGGCGCCACGGCTGGGCGGGGCTCTTCCACGGGCTGCCCACGCGGTCCGTGCTCCACGCGGTGGTCTGGTGCGTGGTGGGCGCTGGACGGGAGCTGTGCGAGCGCGGGGGGCTCCGGGAGCGGGCGAAGGAGACGCTTGGAGGAGAAGGGGAGGAGCTGTCTGGAGGGTGTCTGGAGGGAGGGAGTTGAAGGATTTGTGCCGTTCTTTTTGTGGAGGGAGACGGTGGCTCACCATATTGCTCTTATGGCGTCCCAGTATGGACAGCACTGGTCCTTTGTGCCCTTTCTGGTTCATATAGCACACACACACACACATATATATATATACACAAATGACATAGTATTATCTACCATTTCATAACCTTCTTGCCTGGTCCTGGTCCTTTGGAGTATGCGTTTGCTTCCTGCACCAAGGAAGAGCGCCGCCCTGGGTCGCAGTCGCACCCTGAGTGCCTGACGCGACCGCGAAGAGCGGCCCTCGACATCCCCAACGATCCTGCGGGTGATTGGCCCGTGGCGGGGGGGCGAAGGAATGGACGGAGTCTTCCACATCTCAAAGGGATGCGGGGTGCTTTTTTGGCATGAAAACGCCCTGCCCGCCTACCCAATGGCGATGGCCTCCAACCTAAGAGTGATGGCCTCTGTACCCAATAGAAACTTCCAGGGATCTGCGGGCCAGACTTCAACGTAGGGCGTCTTCGACGAGAGGAGCTTAAGTAGTTATATAAAGTTGTGGTAGCTTCATGCATGATGTGCTCGTGTACGGAATCTAAGTCTTTTTGATTGCTCTACCGTAGCATTTTCCAAACCTAATTCCCCATTACCTGTATGTATGGTTGTATATATATATATATGTGTGTGTGTGCTGTATGTTATCTAGTTGGTTTACAGGCCAGAGGATGGCGGTGTTTACCTGCAGCCGATATTGGGAGCCGAGTTTGTCGGGTCAAATTTCACTGCAAAAGCAGTGCGCGCAGCCTTGAAGCTATGTTTCTGATTCACCTATATACTCACCTTGTCACTGACGACTGGAGTGCTGGTATTCCCCCCAGACACGACCAACCAAGAAACTGGCAGACTCCGTTGCATTCTCCAAGGGAGCCGCAAGCGGTGCGAAGAGCAAAACGTCCGCAACAGCCAAGCTTTGACACGTGTGAAGATACGATAGATGTGTCCTCCTTCGCATCGATTCCAGGTGTGACGGGAGAATGACTCTTCAACCTCTACCAGGGCCCCGCGAGGGGTGTCTAATGATTGCCCCTTGGAGGTGATTCGGGGTGTCCAATTCTATCTCCACCCCTTTGGGGGACCTGAGGGCCTGGCAGTTGAAAAAGATTGAACAACTTGTGCTTTGCTGAAAGGCTTTTTGCTCAGATGAACCGGCACATGGAGCAGCCTACCAAAACCGATGCTGCAAGCGACCATGGTACATCATGGCACCCACACACAAGAGCATGATTAAACCCCTGCAGAATCTCCACAGTGCGCGTGTGTGCTTAGCTCCCAGCCTCCAACCCATGAACCATCTGAACCTTCACCAACCCCTGGACCACTCCTGTACCCGCCCAGTCAGTGGATACATTGTGGATACCCTTCGGCCATTTTTTAAGGATTGGCCCCCCAAAGAAAACAAGAACAGGCGGAAGAAGATGGTCATGTTCCATTAAAAACAAGTCTGGTTTTTTCGGTCGGTGCACCACTCTATCTAAGCTGATGCTCTCTGACCGTTCCACCGTGACCACGTTGACCGCGGATGGTTTGCATCTCGGGTGTTTGGCGGGAAGCCTGGCTGCAACTCCGCTTGGCACTGCCAGTGTGTGGTGCCAACCTTTTGCAGCGCATATCGACCTGGGTGACCTGGATTGTGGTGGGACGCTTGGGGCCTCTTGTCAGGTGATGGGGCTGGGGGGGCCTTGTGAGGGTCCGATTCGCTGGCGCGCCCGGAGTCGGTGGAGGTGGTGGGGATGGGTTTTCTCAGTGGGCCCCATTCATGCCAAACGGCTCCAGCTGGTCTGTACCTAACTCGTACAAGTGCTGAAGGTGTCGGAATCCCTGGGGTACCACTGTTTTCAAACGAAGGAGAAGTTCACGAGGGAAACATTGCTGCTTCATGACAATAAACCCTCAGCAAACCCGTGCCAGTTCAGTGCTTCCTGAGCTAAGTGCTGGCTTGCAGTCTAAAGGGGGTTGAAGTGCAACCTTTAATCCAAGGTTAAGCGGTTGATCCCGTTGAAGAGCAAGTGCGAGTGAGAGTCCACCATCTTCAAGGCACATTCAGTGGCCAGTGATGACCCTTCCCAGGGTTCGACACAGATCGCACAAACACCTTGCGATGCATATCTCCAGGCACACCACACACACAAACCTCCGCCTGCGCGCTGAGGAAGGATATCTTAGGGCCGGTGACCCTGTCGAGCAGCGTGAACAACGTGCTCGGCACCTCTGTGGTGGGCGGTCTGAGCGTCGGAGTGTCCACCTTGGCCTCCCAGGCGCTGCAGCCCGCCTAGGCTGATCAGTGATTCTACAGTGGTTTCAGGGCACCCCAAGATGTTTAGTAACACGGGTCCAACTCAACCACCCAACTTGAGGGTGCCATCTACTCAATCCACTCTACTGTTGGTGAACGCCGGGCCAGGCCTATGGAGCTGGCAATGACCTGGCCATGGCCTTGGTACTTCAAAGGGCGATCATGGTTACCCTTCTGGGCTCGCAACTGGGCTCAGCTGGGGACCGGGCGGGCGCTTGTGGTGCCCCCTGACCAATCGGCAGAACCTCCAAAAGGCCATGTTGGGGTCTTGTTTGGGTGGTTTGTTTGGGGTCTTCATGGCTTGCTCCCTCGCACCCCGAGGTGGGCGCTGATCCAAACAACAGATGTATGTGTCAACGATCCGGTTCAATAGGGCCATCAATTGCAGCATCAGCAGGAAACATGATGGACACCGTATATCTCAACAACGGTGGCTAGTTAGGTCCAAATGCCACACCACAAGGTGCCACAAGGTAGAAATGTAAAGTAGAGCACTTTTCAACCAACCTGGAAATGTCATCACGAAAAATGGAAAGGCTCACTGAACCAATGATGTTGGGGGTTTGGGGGACTCTTTGGGTGTTTGGGTGGTCCCAGTGTTTGCAAGGAGTTTTTTGGGTGAGCAGCATGTTGAGAGAGGCGGTGGTTTGTGGAAACCCCCATGCCGTCCAACCTCCCTCGCAACTCGCATCCCCCCGGTGGAGTTTTGCTGTCCTTGCTTCTTTTCTGCTGGTTCCCCTTCCTCGTAGAAAACTGTGTGTTGCTTTTTTGCGGCTCAGGATCCCTTGCGTGATCCTTTTGGCATTGATCAGGCGGGTCGAGCAGCCCCATTCTCATGGCGAAAGCATCCAACCACCTTACCGGATAGGTCCCGGAAAACGCCGCCGCGAACTACGCGAACGTCTCATAGCCCAAAGGGATCCAAACCTTGTGAAAGAGGAGAGAGAGAGAGAGAGAGGCGATTTTTGATGGGGCGGTGCTGGTCAAAAGATGTCAAATGTGTAGAGCATTTGATATACTGTGCTATACTGTCACACTGTAGCTGTAGCTTTACTCACTTGTGGTGGAGGCCGATCCTAGAGATGCTGGGCATGGAGCCACACTTTTGCAGCGTGGCCGGCGGCTACGCGCTGACGGTTCTTCTGGTGACGCCCTTCATGGGTTTGCAGCGGTCGATTGGCACCTGGCTGGTGGCGCAGAGCCTCGGAAAGCCTCGGTTGGAGGCCTTGGTGGTCACCAGTGCGGAGCGGGATCCCTTGGATGGTTGGTGGGTTGCTTCGGCCAACGGAAGAGCTGACGAGGTGGTCGATGTAGCCTCCCCGGCATATGATGGGATTTTTTATGGGGTGGACATGGCCGAGAGCTCCTCGAGAACCAATGCTTCATTCATGAGAACATTTTAAACTTTCAAGATTTTGAAGAATGAAAATCAGGAGGGCGGACCAACACAAAGTCTTTTGCTACCTGGGTGCCGTGCCCGTGCCGTGCCCGTAGCAGTTCTCCCGGGCCCGTGGAAGTAGCAGTGCTCGTGAAACTCATTAATTATGGGCATCCCCCAGCAGGCCAACCTGAACGCATGTTCTGCAAACAGCAGCTGTTTCAGGAACCATCAGGAACTACAGTATGCTAGTTTGCAGGGTGTCTCAAGAAAAGCTTTGTTGGCTAGTCATGGCACTGTGGGGTCTTTCCCATGGTGATTCTTTGGCCCCTTCTTCCTGCGAGGAAGAACAACCATCCCAGGACCGTGCCCGCGCTCTGCGCGGGCTGCGCGACAGTTCAAGAGCTTTGGTTCTAATGCTGGGAGTTATTGCTTGGGCAAACATGTGCAGGGCAGTACCACACATGAGGGCAGTGCGGGGCAGTGCCCGCTGCTGCTGGGGTTCCACGCCGCGTGGTTGCTTTCACCGCCCGGGCAAGGTGATTTCTTCCATCTATGACCCTATACTGCATGCACTTCTATCTCGTGTTGTATCTGGTCTTGATTGTGGTGATCAGAGCGTTGACCAAGATCGAACATTGGTGGAAGGCTTGCATCAATCATGAGCCTACGACTCACTCCCATACCTGAACCCCATTGTAGAGCGGCACTTTTCTCCCTGACTTCCGCTGGCCCAACCCTTCCGACTTCGCCCAACCGCCCCCATCGGACCACCTTCCGGAGCAGCTTCCGGACCCTGCCCCGGTCGCCAGGATGATTGTGATTCTGATTGCCTTGCCTGCTCACACGGCGCTGACGGTGTCCCTGACCGGCCGCTGGAGCTACTTGGGCGCGGGCGTCGCCATGACGCTGAGCACCGGCATGCAGGCGACGCCTGGCAGCGTGGTGAGACATGACCCAACCACCAGGCCACACCGCTTCGCTCTGGTTCGGGGCACCTCACCAAACGAATTCTTTGGGATTGCTTGGGATTCCTGGAGTCTAGGGACTGTAGAGGTTTCTATTCTTTGAGGCATCTGAAGAGGTTTCATCCCAATTCATCCCTGCCATGCATTTGGACCAAACCCATCATACCTGACTCAGCTTTTCCACTTCAGGATCCCAATATACCGGTGGTGGGTTGGTGCATGTTCTCATGTTCCACGTGCACTGCAATAATCTGCAACATGGAACGCGCTGACTTTGCTGTGTGTACAATGGCAAGTGCGGAATGTTTGAAATTTGACCTTTTATGCCCTGTTTATAGTCTTGATGGTAGCACCCTCCATGGCCCAGTAGCAACCTTAAAGCTGGTATGAAAGATGGTTCTTCGACTATCCAGTTGGTCGAATCCATGGTGGCACTTACATTCTGCTTCTCCTTCTTTTGCCTCTGAGTATAGTCCTGATCTAGGCCCATCAATGAATCGATGTCCTTCCAATACGGGCGATCGCTCTAATAGCGGATTGGTTTGAACCGCCTCAGGGGGCGTTTTCGCACGCATCCTGCCACCCTGGGGCGCTTCCAACAAGTTGTGATCCTGGCAAGGTTCAGTGGTCCTCGTTCGACTCACGTTTTGTTGAGGATCCTGATCTATCTCTACATCTCCTTCTCTTCGACCTGCTCAAGGACCTGGCGCGGGTTCAGCTGCGAAGCCTTCAAAGACTGGGGGCCTTTCTTGGAGATCGCTCTGCCAGGTGCCCTGCACCAGCCGCGAAAAGTTCGTCGCCACACGTCCCGACCGGGGTGGTTTGACCCCTAGCTTAGGAATCGCATTTAGGTTGCTTTGTGGCCCAGAACAGATAAGCATCAGGCTTTAGCGGGGGGTTGAATCCTTCAAGTCAAGTTCGTTCGTTCGTGCTTCAGAAGCGTGGCTTTACTTGTCCTATCTTCGCCCTCGGTGCTCTTCGCTGGTCCCTGAGTGGAAGCACCGAGGGTCACGGCATCTAAGCACACACACACAAACACACCACTTTGAACCTCAGGGGTTTGGATGAACACGGAGTATTTTGTGGGAGAATCCTTGACGCTGGCGGCGAGCATGCTGCCGGATCCTGACACGTGCCTGGGCTGCAGATTCGGGAGTGCTTTTGCGGTTGAGTTGGGCGAGGAATGGGTGGCCTCAAGCGAGCACTTCTAGTTTTTTGGTGTGAGTTTGTGTGTGCCAACTCCCATCATCTCCCATCCCCATTCGCAGGAAACTCTTTCAAAAACCTGGCTCGCGCTGACTCGACCCCAGTTGTGTTCGTCGTGCTGGCACCGGCGCCGGTGGGAGGTGCTTGTCCGCCTTGTCCATCTACCAGCTCACTCAGACGACCTGCTATCAGATCCCCAGTGGCCTACGCATGGTCATCAGCTCACGCCTCGGGAACCAACTGGGCGCCAACCAGCCGGAGGAGGCCGCGTTGGGCGAACGTGCCGGGCTCCGTGACCTGGCGGGGTGTTGGAAGTGGGCGTGAGGACTCCGCTTCCAGTGATGATATCGGTTTCCAACAGTGGAGTGCCCTGAATTCATGCATCATGATCATCATGATTTATAACTAAGCCTTTGGGTAAGCCATATGACTTCTCCATAAGTATTCGACTTTGGCTGCGTAGATGATGTCCAACGACATGTTCGATCAGATTCTATCAATGCATTCACTTCAGGCGAAGAAGGACCTTTCAGAAAGGCTCTCCCCTCCAACATTTCACCAACCTATATAGGGCCAGATGGCCCTAACTATTGAACAACCAATAGGAATATGGTCTATGATTCCTAATGGGCGTGGGTCAGCTTTTGCTTTTCCATCAACTTCCATCCCGTTTCTTTTTCGAAGAGATGCATTGCACCCTTTGTGGCGGGACTGAGGGCTGGTCCTGTTGTGGTTGACCATTCCAGCAGTGCTACTGCTGGTCTTCACCCGGCAGTGGGGATTGCTCTTCACCCAGAACGAGGCCGTGCTACACTTGCTGGACACCTTGGTTTGGCTTCTGCTCATGTACAGCAGCCTGGACGCCCTCCAGGCAGTTTGGGGGCGCTTTCGGGGGTGGTCTCTGGCCGGTCACGGTTCTTTGGTGAGAAAGCTTCTCTTCGGTTCTTGAGGATCCCATCCCTGAGGGAGCCCCGCCTGCCGCGCTCAGACGGGGCTTTGGTCCGTCCGCGCCGGCACGGGAAATCCGGAGGCCCGAGGAAGAGTGTGCAGGGCTTGTTGAATTTGCAGAACGTGGAGCTAAAGGTGCATGTAGACAGGACCAGAAGGTTCATGAGAGTTGAACAAGGGAGCTTGAAGGAGATTTCTGTTGGTGTTTGGATGATGGTTTTCGATTGCATCGCGGCTGCTTTCTCTCGGACCCCAACGAGTAATAGTGGAAGCAGCTGGCCTTTTCTAGAACCAATCGGAGACGGGTTCAAGATGGTTCAAGCCTAGAGGTGATAGAGGAAGTCCAACACTGCTCAGACGAGCCTCAAACTGTCCCCTCTCTCAGTTGTGGGCCGTTTCTTTCCACAGTGCCACAGCTGGAAATTGGATGGGCCCGAGGTGTTGTCCCCTCGGCAACCTCGGGAACTTGGGGCCCTTTCCCTTCGCCTTGGATGCTCCACCTGGGCACTGGGGCGATGCTCCCGAGGCCTACAACAACGGGACCTTGGCCTCGTGCGGGCAGCAGCAGATCAGCGGCCGCTGGGCGCTCCGAGCCTATCTGGGCGTCAGTCTCCCCGTGGGGCTGCTTTTGGCCTTTGCTTTTCGCTGGGGCCTCCTGGCTGGTTCTGCTCGGTTTCGGATGGGGGTGGACGCGGTGAGAGGTGCAGCATCGAAAATCAGATGAACCAGCTTCGAAAGAAAAGGGGATCGTCCACCGCAGCGCCTGGGAGGTGGCCCCTCCAAGTCTAAGACCGCAGACCTCACGTTCGCCTTCCGGTGGACCATTCAAAGAGTTTGGTTGAACTGGCTTCTCGTGTACTGCGTTTGTAGTTTAAAAAACCATACTATAATATATAGTACAATCACTGGCTCTTTCGGATGGTCTGCAAATCCGGTCGTGGGCCGGGAATTGGGATCTTATTTCCAGCAGTCACTTCCCGAGCTCGTCCACGACCCCTGGGATGGGACGAGCCACACCAGGGATGGTCGGAAGTGACCCCTGGTGCATCCTGCAACCATTCCGGTCCACCTTTTTGGATCTCTATCCGATCCCGGAGGATCCGGAGGTTAGCCGGTTTTTTGTTGTCTGGGCGCCCTGAACGGAACGGCGCGAACGGCACCCCTCCGGAACGCGCATCCGGAAAAGCCAACATAGTAGTTAGTAGTTGAAAGAGATCCAAAAAGTCCTGGATGGGATCTTCGCCCTGCCCTTCTAGGTGTGGTGGGTCTATGTGCTGGGCACTGTCTGGGCAAACTCTGCCACGTTGTCCCCTGCTGGCGTGCGCTGAAGCGCATCGACTGGGAGGCGGAAGCCAAGCGGGCAGCGGAGCGTGTGGAGCATGTTCGGCCCATGAGTGTGGCGCTTGTACGCTGAGCATTTTCAGGGGCCTTCCGGACGTCCCCAACAAGGGACGACCAGTCCCTCTGGTCCTGAACCGTGCTTCCGTGCGCGGAAAGAAGGGGCTTTCGGTGCGGTGATCGGATGTAAAGCGCTCTCATTCACCTTCACTGCTGAGAGAGAGAGAGAGATGTTTGTGTTAAACGCCGTGAGCCCACTTAATTACTTGCATTCCAATTCAAAATAATTCAAAGGTATGCTTCAAGGCCATCTCCACGACCTTCACCGCGTCCTGCACTGCAGTCTTTGACGCTCGAATTGGGCGAAGCTCATGGCGTCGTGGAGCCGCTTCGAGCTCGAACCGGAGACGACCACCTTGGCCTTGCGCCTCGGTGTTTCATGCATGGCTCGAAGCACCGCCTTTTCCCCCGACCCCACAGAAGTTAGGGGTGACCCAGCAGGCGGCCAGCGGGTTCTTGTTAGGCCGTGTTCCAGGTTTTTGGAACTTTTCAGCGGCCAGCCCTCCAAGCAAAATGGGGATTTCATAGGATTTCGAGTTTGCACTAGTAGACCAGGGGCTTCAAACCCGCATACCCCCGCAGCTTTGTTGATTTTGTTGCAAGCTAGGCCAATCAGCTGTAGACAGTGTAGAGGCTCCAACTTGTGCCCCATAGCGATCGGATGCCTTCGTCCATGTGTTTCATGCAGCAGATGCACGAGTCGGAGGTCCTTGAACACACCAAATTCAGCATGTGTTTGACACCTGTACCGACGAAGCGTGCTTCGAGATCAGATGCCGCAGTCACCGGGGAGACCAGTCGACTTGCCGTGATCTGCGCGATCATCCGTTTCGCTTGAGGCGTGGCGTTTCCAATGTGCACAACCGTGACTCCATCCTGCAGTTGTTGGATACCGCATGTGGGAGCTCGGCGAAGTATAACTTTGTGTTTATGCCTTTGGCTCGTGGCGTGGTTGGCGAAAGAGAGCGGAGGATGGAGGAGGAGGGGCTTGGGGAGAGTCTGGAGGCTTAGAGCCGAGGCACTTTGTGAACATGTTGGGGTCCGACATCATCACCATACTCTAATGCCCTGGGAGTCAGAGACTATCAAAAGAATGGTCTGACTAGGTGACCGAGTTCAGGAATTTCCTTCACTTCAGTCAACATATAGTCGAACTGGACTTCTAGGAATATGGTATTCAACGGTGTGCTTCACCGCATGTAGCGACACGCCCGACTGTGACGCAGTGTGGTGGTGGTGGAGCCGCTACCAGCGGCGTGGGACGGTTTCGGATCCGACACCCTGTGGCCATCGTCAGATGCACCTGGCCACGGAACAAGTGTTCCCGCTGCCGAACGACCCAGCTCCACTTGGCGTTCGGCCGGCCGGAACGCGCCGCGTTCCGCGCCGGAACGCGAAAAACGCGGCCGCGTGCACCGCCGTGCCGTTCCGTTCCAAGAAGCGGGCCGAGGTTCTTCCCATGCAGGGCTCGCGATTGTGAACTTCGTGGATGCCGCGAGCTGCGCCCGGTGCTTCGTGCGACTGAGGCAGATGCAGGAGACGGACGGGCCGACGTCGGTCGGTCGGGTCTCGGTGCTTCGTGCGTTTGGTGCGTTTGGCACCGGGTTTGTTTGAAAAAAACCAAGGACATGGTCTTTTGAGATGGGGTTGGGGATTGTGCCACGTACGATGCTAAGGATTTTTGGAGGTTTTGGGCGGTTTTGTTGCTACATGATGCTACATGCGGGTGCTATGCTATGCGAGATTGGTGCTGAGAAATCTGCTTGAGTCCAATCACCGCCCACGTTGTGAGGCAATCGAGAATTGCATAGGTGTTCAGAGGCTCCTAGGGAACCAGCTGTTGTCAGAAATCAGCTCAGAGTGTTAAGTTTTTCTCCACTACAAAGTACTACCCGGCTCGCAATTCCTGTACCCCTTTTATCGCCTGGCCGCGTCGTTCAGGCTTGCAATACACTCACCCTTCGGCCTTTCGTGTGGCCTTGTTTTCCCGTTGAGACCCTTCCAGGACCCAAGTGACCGTTTTGTCTTCCCAGAACGAGGTCGCTTGTCCCTAGGCCCTAGAGAGGTTCGTTCGAGACTCCCAAAGAGGTCACTTTGAAGGTCCTGGTCCTGGTTGGTCACCGACCTGGGCAGAAAATGGGGCACATATGGATTCGCCAGGGGCGCTCCCGGTGTCGCTCAGGACCAAGGGTTGATGGTGGGCGTCAAGAGCGTCGCTCGGTCCTACATCCAGGGCTTCGCTGAGATGCTTGGAGAAAGATGGGGCCTGGTGGGCGAGAGTCCGGAAGCGCCTTCCGCATGAAGGAGCAGCATTGGACACCCTCTTCAGGGTGATGATCGGATTCTTTCTTGGCTTGCCGGCTGGCCGCGGAGGGGTGCCCAGAAACCTTTTCTCTAAGAGTGGCAGCCATTCGAACACAAGCCAGCAGCTAAAGTAAAGCAAAAGGAGGACTTGCCGGTACGCCCGAGCTGGGTCGTGCACACTGCGGGTGATAATGGTAGGTGATAGGTGATAGGCAATCCCAGGGCTGAAACCGAAACGGTGGACGGCTCCGCCCGCCGAGCTGCCGGAGTTCGGGTTACAATCACCCCGATTTCGATGCATTTCCATCCAATAACCACCAGAACTCCGTGGTGCTTGTGGATCTTGTGGTTGATCCATCCTTCTGACCACCCAGATCCGCTCCAGATCCATCATGGTAGGGGGGCCCAATCCGGGCCCCGGGAGCCCGCCTTCACCAGGAACCTCGCCTACTACGTGGTCATCTCCCAGACGGACAGCCGCGTGACGGAGCGGCCGCGGATCTTCGTGCCGTGGCACGGGAGCGGGTGTCGCCGGTGGACAGTCGACGCGTCGTCCGTCCCAGGAACTGCGTCCGGTCTCGGCCGATGGGCGACCGACCCGCCCGCCACGGTCGGCCAGCCGGCACTCTCTACTAGTGCGGTGGTCGTCTCACGGTGTGTCCTCCGGTGCGCAGGAACCCCCAACGTGCTCGGGGGATCTTGGGGGTGGTTGGACACCCTGGGTTGCCTCTACCAGGATCCAACAGGTCCTCGAACCATGGTGGGCTTTTGCAGACACGGCTGCTGACCTGTAGAGTGACCTGTCGAGTCGTCGTTGGGTCCGGGACTGATCGAGTCGGACTCCACAGCGCAAGACCGACCGCGCTCCCCTTCCGTCCCGTGGTCCTGGTTCGGAAGCACCTGACGGGCGCCGGAATGCCTCATGGAGGGTCCGTTGTCGCGCCCGACCGACGCTGGGAAAGGAGGGGCGGAATCTGGTTCAAGGTAGCCAGGTAGACCAAAGACTCTCTTTTTTGGGTTTTGTTGAAGGTGACTGTGACGGTTTGAAGGCCTCCAGTGGTGAAGGAGGCAGTGAAGTGTTGAGCGTGGCGCGGCGGGCAACGGCCTCCAGGTCGAAGGGAAAGAAGGAGATGATGCTTTGCTCGCGGCCTTGATCGAAGAGTTCGTGACTGAGGATCTCAAGCTGAAGGCTGCGGAGCGTCTTGGAGAGGTTTGCCGCGCTTTTGGAGTCGTGAGTTTTGCTTCGTGACCTGACGTGGATTTTAGGGGAAGTCAACATGCACGTAAGGCATGAAAGAGGATGAAAGGAGTAATTATGTGGGTTGAGCGAAAACCCATCGACGTCCGCAAGTCATGGGTTTCATGGATTATGGATTGGTTCGGGGCACTTGTGAATACTTATTACGCTCTTACGACCCTTCTAGATTTGTACATATATTATATATATATAATATATATATATACACATGTAAACACTGGGAGTGAAAGACTATATATAAAATTGTCTTTAGGTGACCCGAGTTCGGGAATTTCCTTTACTTCCGGTCAAAATATCGTTGAACTGGACTTCTAGGATATAATATATATAGTTATATATATATATACTGTATACAGAGATGTTACAGCATATATACTGATGGTTTTTGTCAACACATCATCACAAGTACATCCTAATGTCCTTCAGGGGGCCAGGGCCAACGGTCTGGGTGTAGTCGGACATCTGGCCCCTCTTCTTTCGGGCTCCGCGCGGCGAACCGAGCCAAGCGAAGCGTGTTTCGGAGTCCCGGAGCCGATGCGTCTTCCGGCCCAGTACGCAAACCGGATTGAGAGCATGTCATGTCAGTCTACGCCAACGCCCTGGACCGACACGACCGCCACGAAACACCTTGAGGCAAGCAGAGGTGCCCGGCCCGGCGACCTGCGCGTGGGTGTGAGGGGTGTGCGGGGCGGGCCATGGGTGTGGACATCCTGGGGCCGAAGAAGATGTTCCGCTACAAAGGGGGGCACTTTCCACTTCCATGATGGTGTTTGGTTATTTTGGGGGTCGCCCAAAGGCGTCAGGCGAGGCACGTTTCCCCGTTTGCCTCTTGAATACTGAATCTTCTCGCGTGGCAGTGTGTGCAGGGTGCGTTTGTGCAGGGTGCACACCGGCGTATGGCGTATGGGTGTGGAACTGCACGGTGGAGATCCGTGGATCTCTGGAATTGAAGCACCAAGAGTTTCAAAGGGGTGCTTAATTTAATGGAGGTAGGGCGGGGTGCCCATTATCCACTCACTGAGGGACTAAACCCCACCCCTTTGTGACCCCTGGTGTATGGATGTACATGGCAATCCCCCGTAGTATATAGTAATTGTAATTGTGAAGTATCCTATTTCTCCCTGCGTTTCTCCGTCCGCATGGATGGTGCTTGTGACCTTTGCTGCCCCGAAGCTCCAGTTCTTCGTCCCCCAGGCGCTCTACCGCGCGCGCGGTCCTGGACCGCGCGCGGGCGCGCGGGCGGCCGCCAGAGGCCCTGGCAGCGCTCGTCCGTGGCCCGCGGGGTCCATCCAGCGCGGCGAGGCGTGGGGGAGCGAGGTGGGGGTGCAATGGTTTCCAGGTCGTGTTGATATTTGGCCCTGGTAGAAGAGTTTCTCCTTTTTTTTGGGGGGGGTTGGTGCGTTCATGAACCACATGGTGGGTCCTGGTAGTTGTGGATGTTTGTATTTTCTTCTACTCCCTCGGATATTTACCCTTGCGGATTGTTCCGCCGGCCCTTTTGGCTGAGGGGAGGGGGTGGGGGGGGGGGGGGGGGGGGAAGTTAGACTTGTCAAAAATCCGCGCCGTGGGTACAATTAGACTAAAAACAAAACTACTACTAGGATAGCATACAAACCAATCACCTAAAACACGCCGCGCCCAAGGGCCGGCGGATTTTTTAGGTTGGTGGATGGATGTGTAGGCCTTGGATGGATGTGTAGGCCTGCACGTCGACGTAGCTTTTCACGTCTTCCGATCCGAGCCTCCGAGCCTCCGAAAGAAAGGGAGGGCTTGCTTCGACTGGGAGCTGCTCCAGTGGTCCATGTGAGCTCATGAGACGCCACCGGTGCATGATACAAACCACTCGTGAGCTCAGAGAGACCTGGCAGCCATGTACCCGGAAAAAGAGGGAGCATTTTTTGGGCGTTCTTTTGTGGTCCGAACCGCGTGAGTCGCTTTTCGGATTTTGTGTCGGCCGGCCACGGGGAGGGTCAGTATATAGACGGTCTCCCACCGCCGTTACCGTTACCGTTACCGTTACCGTTCGCTCTGCCCCATCGCAGGCGAGCGTGAGCGGGGAGTGTCTGGCGATGGGTCGGGAGCCGACCGATGAAGAGATGAAGACCATCCGCCGATGGTGCCGGAGCAAAGCAAGTTCGGCTCAATACCTGTTCTTTTCTCTTTAGGGCCTTTCGAGATCTCTGGATGGGATGTGAACATGGTTCTTGGCACAAGATTTCGAAAAAGCACACACTCAGAGAGATCTACAATCGACCGAGTCCAACGGTAGACTCTGCCCTCAGGATTTAACCTACTGGTGGAGAACTTTTGGATGAGGTAAAGCTTGGCTTGGGAAGTGCTGTAATGCTCTGCCCAAATTGGAAGATGTTTTTGGACTGAACATGTGTTGGGGATCTTTTTTTGCTAACACTTCTCTTTGCCACTGCCGCGTCAGCGGGGAAACCAGTCCCAAAAGTCTGTATCCCCACTGCTGCGAATGGCGGCCCGCACTGAATCTTCTCCAACCACGTGAGCCATGTCAAGAGCTAACGAAAAGATGCCAATTTCATTGCCTTCGCCTTCAGGGCGGCTCAGCTGTTTTCAATCATTTTCGGCCCATGGTGTTCTGGAAAGCAGATTGGCTTCTTGACGCAGGTTTAGAGGGGTCCCCGCGTGGGGTGTGGCTCGGCTTGAGCCTCTCTGCCTCTCAGATGTCTCACAAAGGACGCCTCGAACCATTTTATGACGCTTCTTGGGCGGCAGTTCTCGGGCGGCAATTCTGGGCGCGCAGCCTGCGAAGTGGCAGGCCGCGCGCGGCCTGAAGTTGCGGGCCCCGCCGAAACCTTTTTCCGCCAGGTCCAAAATGCACAGGTTGGCCTCATCTGGAAGAGATGGGGTCCAACAAGCTTCTTCGTGAAGCTTCAGAGGCTTGGAGTCAGGCACCCCAAACGATTTCGTCTATATTTAGATTTAATACGATTTAATTGAATTGATTTACATGGTATTATACTATAGACATATATTATATAGACTTTCTACATATGTTTCAAGGCAGTGCTTTGTCAAGGCTGTGTCTTGGAGCCTAGAAGGGGCTGACATGGCAACGCTGTGCCTTTGAAGAGCCTATGAATTCTTCTTCGGATTCTGACAGAAACTTGCCAACCTCATTTTCCATCGCTGTGCGGAAACTACAGCGATTCAGAGATAGTATAGCGACCCCAAATAGATAGAACTGAAGAGTGATTTCCCAGTGATTGCATCCCAAAAGTGTACAAACGCAGAAGCTTTGATCTACTTGGGAGCTCCGCTGCCTAAATGGCTGCGTCGGTGACTTGGTGCAAGGCCCCCGCAAAGGCACCGTCGAATGCGTTGATCGCGCTGGCGCGACCCCTTCCGTCCGACCGCTGGCGCGAAGGCGGCCGGCGGGCGGACTCGCCCAATTCGCTGTTTTAGGGTGAATGTCTTGATTCTGGGAAGGGAATTTAGAAGAACTTTTGGAAGAACATCCGGTGAACGGGGTTTGGTTCTGAACGCGTTCTGAAGAAGTAACATCAGCATAGCTTAGGTGAACTGCACAACAGCAAACAGCAAAACCTCCAGCCGACCTCCAGCCCTTCCTGGTTCCAGCCGGTGCGCCGGGTCGTTCCGGTGCAGGGTGGAACCCAAGCACCTAGCTTTGGGCCAAGGGTTCCAACGCTCGCGGTCTCGAATCACCATGTAGAAGCATATCCACACATGCAGATCATACTACAGTAGGTACATTTGCTTTGGGCGTGATTCCGGAAATGCTGCATTTTGCGTTGCTTCTGGAGCAGCCATCCCCGAAGCAAGCTCTTTGGGCTGGCCCACCAGGCTTCACGGCACCCAAACCCATATGCATTGGCCCATTTGAAATGCTGTTGTGGTTTGTTTAGGATTCTCAAAACTGGAGAGCAGGAGGCAGCTGTGCTGATCCCTGAATGCGCTAAGCAAAACGGTCGAAAGCATGTGGACGTAGCTTGTTTACTCTTTTTGGGGTGAGCAGGGTGGGCCGACGATGGTGAAGGTTTCCTTCAACCTTGCCCGGGTCAGTGGGCAACCTAAGAATCCACATCAATTTGCGGCCTTGAGCGGCAGATGCAGTCCCAATGTGATTCGATACGGACCTTCGCGATGCTGGCAACTTCGGCATGGCGTCAGGTTCTTGCTAACGCGCACAGTGGCGATGTACAGTGCCCCTTCCTTCTTTGTAAAGATGGGTCTGGGTTGATTGACTCGCTCCATTTTGAGCTAGTGAATGTCTTAGCCCACCGCCTGGGCAGAAACATGAACATGGAAGATACAACTTCTTGAGACATTTGACACCACTGAATGGCGTGGGTTTCTGTCTTGTGATTTTTCTGATGCCCTGCGGCCCCCGTGGATTCTGCTGGCCTGGCCCCAGTTGTACCAAGATGCACCGCCCCTTTGCATCCAAAAGGGGGAGTCGGCGCGGGTCACGTAACCGGGGCGCGTTCCTTCGGACATCCACGGAGCGGAGCGTTGCGCGGAAGGGGTCGCACCCACGGACTCAGCGCTATGAGGCCGAACGGAGCATGTATGTTCTGGGCTGAAGGGATCTGAAGGGCCCACGTGGAGCACAGCAGCAAAGCGTGAGGAATGGCAATGTAGGGGCTGGCCCCTCACTGGGCGCAACTCTTTGTGATTCATAGATGCACAAGCACATCCCAGGAGTCACAAGTGTCGGCGAATGGACACGGGCCATTCTCCGTGTCCATTCGCCGACACGGTCTAGGTTCATTGGTTCAAACCGACAGTAGATCAAGAAGAAATGGAGGTGGTGGAACCTGGACCCCCAAGGGGATGGTTAATGGACAACCCTTGAGATCTAAGGGGCTAAGAATGGACACCCGGGTCCTCCGTGGTGCTGGACCATTTCTTCTGGACGCTTCCGCCCTGCCATGGAAGACTGGACCTCGGAGATCCGGTTTCAGCCGGAGGCACGGCAGGATGGATGGTTTTCGAATGGTTTGGGGTACGTGGAGCAAGTTGGAACTTCTGGAAAGATCTGGGACGTGCTCATCCTGATGAATGATGGGCCCTGCAAAACCGCTGGGTGAATGATGTGTCCACGGTGTGTAGGGATGGGGAACCCATGTCCACGGTTCTTGGGCGAGATCAGCTTGTCCCTTTGAGACGGCCAGCTGACTGTCCGTTTGCTTGTGAATCAGATTGTGAAGCTGAGACATTGAAAACTGGTTGACGAGGTTGCACCCATTTCATGCTGCATCCCCTCCATCGGTGCGTTGGCCATTTTTTTTCTCGACTCGTCACTGGTTCGTGCGAGCAGGATGATGGGCGATGGGGAAGGCTCTTCCTAGGGAACCATGAAGCAGCAGAGCAGTGGCACGAGCTGTGTCAGGCGCAGGTGGGGCATATATCACTGCATCCATCTACTGATCTATGTATATACTTCTCCACCTCTCTATACTAATGCTACTCAATAGCTACTCAATACCTCTATCTCTCTCTCTCTCTACTGTATCTCTATCTATCTGAGGCTTTGCATGGGTTTGGTGATTCTTGAGGGTGCCAGGGGGCCGGGCTGTTCGGTTCTGTCGCTCCCGAACACCGCGGACGCGACGACCGGTGACACCGTCGCTGAAAAGCGGAGATCATGCTCCTTGAGCAGAGTAGAACACTGTGGTCTGGAGAGTAGATGGCACCACATGGCACAAGACCGGACCCCATATGTTTCAAGACATGTACTGGGGCGCCAGTGCCACCGAACCTCTGAAGCGATTGGCATTTGTTCAGGGCTCTCCGACGCACGGGGGACTGTCAAGTGGCCAAGTAAACCGATGTGTCACGCAGAACTTCGATTTGGAGTCACTCAAAAGTCACCTCCCCCGCGCGGGGCGAACGAAGGATCGCCTCGCAACTTGGATGGCGAGACCCGAGGATTTGCAGAATTCAGACCTTGGAGCCGAACCAACAGAGGTTGAAGGAACTAGACTATCCCAGTTCGGTACCCCAGTTCAGGTCACTTAACCTCTCTTGGATCTCGGGCCTTTTTCCCGTCGGTTCACCAAAACCGGCACCGCGCTGTGCGGGGGACCCCCGGCTCCAAGCGCTTCGCACCGGGGGCTGAAGGATGGAGTGGTGATCCGGAAGTCGTCCTCCAGCCGCGTGATTCGTGATTCGTTTCGTGATTCGCGATTCGTTTCGTGATTCGTGATGTGTTTCTCCGAAATCTGCACTTGAGGGCTCGCAAAAAAGTGCTGCACATGCCACGAAATCTGCACTGGAGAGTTCACAAAGTGCTGCCCCTGCCACGAAATCTGCACTTCAGAGACGAAATCTGCACTTCAGAGTTCAGCAAATGCTCACGAAATCTGCACTTCAGAGTTCAGAAAATGCTGCCCCTACCACGAAATCTGCACTTGAGAGCTCACAAAGTGCTGCACCTGCCACGAAATCTGCACTTCAGAGTTCACAAAATGCTGCCCCTGCCACGAAATCTGCACTTGAGGGCTCACAAAGCGCTGCACCTGCCACGAAATCTGCACTTTAGGGTCAACCAAGTGCTGCCCCTGCCACGAAATCTGCACTTCAGGGTTCACAAAGTGCTGTACCTGCCACGAAATCCCTGACCCTGAGCGTGATTCGTGATTCGTGATTCATTATTCGCGCTCCGTCCCTCTAACCTTGAGACCCCTGACCCTGAGCGTGATTCGTGATTCGTCGTCTGTCCCTCTATCCTTTAGACCCCTGACCCCGAGCGTGATTCGTGATTCGTGATTCGTCATTCGTGATTCGTCGTCTGTCCCTCTAACCTTGAGACCCCTGACCCTGAGCGTGATTCGTGCTTCGTGATTCGTGATTCACGATCCTGTCTTGGAGCTTCTCCGGATCACGTCTCGAAGGATGTGAAGGGCGAGGGAGTCGCGGGGGAGTCGCGGAGGTGAAGTTGGTGGTGAATTGCACCAACGATCGGGAAGTTCCGTGCTTCCACGAGTCCAAAGGCGTCCCGGCTCCGGAACGGCTGAGCTGTGGCGACTGCGGGGTGAGTGTTTGAGCAGGTTTGAGCACGTTCGTGGTCAGGAAAAGCACATGTCAATGCTTTAGAGGTGTCGTGGACACCAATGTTTTGCTTTGAATTGGAAGGGCTTCGTCCGCCCCGTTGGCCCTTCATGCGGTGCTCCCCCCTTCGGCTAGCGCTGCGCGCCGACTGCGCCGCTCGTGATCGTCGACGGCAGCGACGGCGCCGCGAATCGGGTTTTCCCCCAACGAAAGGCGTCCTTGGGCGATGGGTATCTACCAGGACACCCGCCCAGGGCAAGGACGCTACGTTCGGGGCTCTTGGCCTTACTACTGGAAGCGATCGGACGCTACTTACTCGGGACACCCGGGCCAGTGGTGTTTGTTGATAGTCCCTTGGAGGTGATTCGGGGTGACCGTGGGTATCCGTGGGTCCTGGTATGGGTCATCACTGGGGGGCCGCAAACCATTGACCTCAGGTCCAGCCAGGGTGAGAGGCCGGCAACCAACACCCCAGCGCGAAACGGGTCTCCGGTCCTTTGAGCTGAGGCCTGAAGTATGTGCGGATTGCCGTGAATGACAATGAAAGCGCTGACCTTCTGCCATACCTGGATGGAGACACGGTCTGAATGTGCACGGTCTGAGGTGATATCTGGTGAGTTTGGAAGTCAGGTGATGGTGATTTTCCGACGAAACATTAAACCCAATAGATGTTAGATGTCTCAATATCTGCATGGAGTGGTTCGTGGAGAATACTTGCATGTCTAGGCTACTGGTGGCAGCCCACCTCAAAGATCCTCAAAGCACATCCAATCCTCGTGGCCTGATACATCAGATTTTGGGTTTGCTGCAGATGCAGATTGGGACGCGAATGGGTCAGCAGCCGAAACGTGAATCTCTCCAGGAGCTTCCGATGCCATTGCTGAAGTCTTGCGCCGTGGAGAGAATGTGCTGGTGCACTGCCACCAGGGTGTCAGCCGCTCGGCCACCGTGGTGGCCGCTTTTCTCTTGAAGCTTGGCGCTGCATCCCCGCGGTCCCCGAGGGAGGTGGTCGCGTGGCTCAAGACGCAGCGAGCGCAGGTCGAGCCGAATCTGGGTTTCCGCGCGCAGCTGGAGATCTATGCCGACCAACTGCGGGCCAAGGCGCGGCCCTCCACCAGCAGTGAGGGCACTCCTCCGTGCGTGGGGGAGGAGTGGTGTCGCAGGTCGCTGGCGCTCTATGCAGTTGGTGGTGCGAAGGCATTCGAGGGGTGCAGAGAGTGCAGAGAGGCCAATGAGATGATTCGTTGGGGCTTGGACTTTGTTCTGGGGCGAGGGCTCAATGCGAGCGATGTGCGTTGGTTGGGAGCCTTGCTGGAAAGCTTGAAGCTTTCAAAGCCCTTGGAGCTGCTGCGGGAGGAGCTTGCTTCCCAGTGGTTTCACGAGTGTTGGGGGCCTGACGTGTCACGTGCCGCATTGGAGGAGATGCGCACCTCGCTCCAGCAGCAGGTGGGTGTGTGACAAGTCCATCCGAGGCTTCCAGGCTTCTGTGCCACCTGGGCTCCAGTCCAGTGGGCCAGGGCCAGGCCTGTTGAGGCCGAGGCCACTTGAGAGCGCAGCGCACCCCTCAGGGCCAGGGCCTTTCGCTCGACCACGCGCGGAGTGAAACGCGCCGTCGATGTACAGCCGACGCGAGGCGCGGAGTCCGGCGCTGTGGATGTACAGCGAGCGACGCGACCCTTCGGGAAAAGACTTGAACCTGGCCCGGGCCAGGGGGGTGGTTGGCAATGTGAAGACGGTGAGGACGGTGGACGATTGATGAGTGAGTTCGGGTTTACGGTGAGATGCAGCATTGGTAGATGTGACTTCACTTGGTCAATGCTCCTAGATGGTCAAATTGATCGAAAGGAGTGGGATTTGGCGTGCACGCAGTGGTGTGGCGCTACCTCAACGATGTCGGTGGGTGGGTTATGTGCCAGCATCTCTGATTTTCAGATTTGCAGTGGAGCTTTCTTAGATGCTCCGCGGCAGCTCATGACTATTGTCATGTCATGTCAGATTGTTCGTGATCTTTCACGCATGCATCCAGATCGACAATCCTTGTAGGTGCATCACTGTGGACTTGTGGGATTTTGGATGCCTCGAGTATTTGCAAGTTTTACATGTCAACAACCAAGAGCAAAACACCTTTTCTCACGGGCATAGGGCATGTTCATGACGTGGACCTGAACAATACCCTCCCCCAAACAATGGAAGTGGACCACCCCCAGGCCATGGTATTATTCGGATTTCATGGTCCGAAACCAGAAGCCATGCCATCCACGTAATGGCATTTCCCCTACTGTACAGGTAAAGGACCTCATTTCATGAGGTCAAGGACTCCAAGGACCAGGTTTTAATATGTTTTAATTGGTCCCACTGGACTGGCAGGGGATTTCTTTGCTTCAACAACTGGCGCCGTTGCCGTTGCGGTCCAGGGTTGCATGTGCCGGGTATTGCCGGGTGGGGGTGGCAATTCCGTACTAAACATAGCCTTGGAGTGCCAGGGTATTACGCCTCGTCACCGGTCCAGTTACCAAACAATTTTGCATACCAGGAGTGGTTTCATCTGTCATGTGCGGGGCAGTCCTCCGCACCAAGACGCCGGCAACGCACACTGGGGAAGGACCGTGTCGGACAGTGTCACCGCAAGGGCCAATCTTTCGACCTTTGCAAAGAATCTCTTGACGACCGGTGGTGGGTTTCGCCTTGGAGTCAGTTTCAGTACTAAGGGTGTGATACGATTCGGATAGGATGCCCGAACCTCAATGATCCAAGCAGATGTGTGGCCAGACTTCCTTCCTCGCAGCCACGCATGGCCTGTGAGCACCTGCTGCGCACGCACGTGGGCTGTGGGAAAGGCCTTTGCCTTGACTCATGGCAGGCCGGGTTCAATGGCATTAGCCCAGGGCAGGTACGGCGATTATGTTGTTCCAGCTGCAATTTGTCGTCAGCCTCTCTTCAACAAGTCAGGAGTCAAGATTGTCTGTGCTGTCCATCATGTTGCTTCCAAGCAAAGGACATCCACTCCGGTTGCCTATCACAGAGCGCCAATACTATACTGTTAAACAAATATGTTTGGGCAGGGCGCAGTACTGCACGGCGACTGGTGTTTTTATGGTGGTTGAAAACATCTCCCTAGTGACTGGCCCGCATTTTCTGAAGCTCCACTAACTACTTCTTCTTCCATGCCGAGAGCAGCGCATTCAGCTTTTTGCGAAGGGTGGCCATGGAAGTGACGTGGCGCCAAACCCCAGTGCCACACTCTCTGTAGGTCTCACGTGCTGAGCACCACCACGTGATGCGGAAAGCCAGCCTTGTCGTTTGTGGTTCTCCCAGGTATCACACCAAGCCCCCTCGAAACACATTTCAAACCAAAGAGCATCCCGAAACCAATCCGGGATCCCGCACCCGATCCAACGATCGACGTGTTTCGGAGGATTGCCCCCAAGACGACGTGGACAAGTCCAGAAGTGAATCAACCCACCACATTCGCCTCAAACAGTCCTAGCAGCCGCTCGGGGCCACTCAAACCACACAGCCTTCCCGAGACCAGCGAATTAGTCACTATCAGAGACAAGGACCACACTTCTACAAAACTTAGGCAACGCATTGTGAATCTTGAGTGAACCAATGGCCGCGGCGACGAACGAAAAGATGCCCGGCGACACCCCCCCAACCATAAGAATGCGACACAACTGCTCGTCATGAACAACGGTAAACCACGAAAACCCTACAACAGCACCAGGCGCCCCATGTAGAGGGTGCCGACGAATTATTCCACAGATCTCACTGCCTCATGTGCTGAATCCTTGAGGTCGCCAAGATGCTGTAACCCCTGTAATCCCTCCAAAAACATTCACCCTAGCTTTTGGATGGACGCCTCTTCCTCCGGCCCCACCATTACCGGAGTGTCCATGCGTGGACCCGCATCGCAGTCCGGGTTCGGCAGCTCTGAGGCCTCGAGGACCGGAGCCCGGCGGAGGCCTTCGCCTGGCTGCTGGCGCCGCTGACGGAGCAGCAGTTCTTCGAGCGCCACTGGGTGCCGCGGGGCGGGGACGGCGGTAAGTCATGGGCGGCCGGGGGCGGCTTAACGGGCGAGTTGGTTATGGAATGGTATGGATGTCTATATGCGCACAACGTTTCAGAAGTGGTCAGTCTAGGCCATGTAATTGCCTTCCCTCGCAGTAGCTGGCTGAGACAGCAGCAGACTCGCTCATGCCCCTCCACCCCTTTCCACAAATGCCAGGGGGTAGATCATGCTAGATCCCCCCACGCTAAACACAAGGCCCACAGACCAAATTCGGAGGTGTGTTTCAGATTGGAAGATTGGAGCCGGTCACACGGAAGTAACATGAAACCTCACCCAAAACCTCACCCCAAACACCGCATCTCTTGCAAACCCGACCGATCCACCAGTTCCGATCGACCTCCGACCCGGTCCGGTGACGCTCCGAGCCACGCTTTCACCGCTAAAGGTGGACGTGGTGACCGGTGCGAAGCCCGCAATGACCAAGAAGTGGTGACCGGTGACCAAGCCCTGAGAGGCAACACAAGAGGTCCAAGAAGGCCAAGGTCCTCAATAGACCGGAGTGTTTCTTTTTCTTCCTCATTTTTCATCATTTCTTCCAGGACCCCGGCGGTTTGCAGGTTCCAACATTGGTGCTTTCCCAGTGTCACGTGCCGACGCGCGCGCAGGAGAAGTGCCCACTGCACTTACGAGGCGCCGATGCTGGCCGCTTTCGTGGGTTGTTGTCACAGCGGGTCATCGAGAGCCGGTTGGCTTCCAAGCCTGGCTTGATCTACGGGACGCTTGGATGGGCCCATGGGTTGGGAAGACGAGGACGATGATCACTTTAGGCTAGGGACAGGGAGGGAGGTCCATGGGACAGGGACAGGACATGTCTCTTACATGTCCAGACGGCTGTGTCTCGAAGTATCAACCCCAAAAAATAGAAGTGGAGGTGAAATCTGTTGGATGAGGGGCACTACCTCACTGAGCTTTTTTTCGTTGCACGCAGGTTTTCCTCCCGGTCCAACTCATCCACAAGTGGTCCCTCCCAAAACCAATGGAAAAGCGGACCTTGTTCAATTAGCCGCGCCGTCAACTTCGTAACACTTTCTGGTTGCTAAAGGCTGTTAAAGGGCTCCAGCAGTTCTTAAGGACTCCAGCAGTTCTTAATCTATTTCCTCATCATGTGCAGAGTGCATGTGATTTTGCTACTTGCAAGCGAGCGTTTGGGATTTCCAAACCGAGGAAAGACATCAATCTGGCTAGGTGGGAGCCGTTGTTCCCTACTGGGGGGCAGAGGGGGGCATTGCTTCCAGATCGGTGGGTAGGCCAAGGCGGAAATGGGCCTATCAGTTACCTCTGAGTAAGAGAAGCTCATGATGACTCATGTAAGTCATGTGAAGGTCGGGTGAGTTCCGCACCAAGCCTACCAGTTGGATTCAGGTCCATGGGGGCCCAGGGCCCACCGACTCCCAACTCATCATTCTTTGTCCTGACCTGACCCTTCACCCCTTGTCTCGTCCCTTGAGCCCGGCAGATGCGGAGCAAATGGCGAGCAGATCATGTGTAACGGCACCGGCCGCGCTGGTGCCGAGGCAGTGCAGAAGAAGGCGGGCGCACCGGCCGCGCGTGGCTCTCGAAGCGTTGGGCATGTTTGTGAGCTTTCCATCGCATGAATGCCTTCGCGCCAGGTGCGTGAAGGCTGTTCGGTGCAGGTCGTGCACCCGCAGCGATTTGGCAGTGAGGTGGCGTGTTTGTTGTCAAAGCTGGAGGCCGGGTGAGAGCCGCCGTGGAACTACGTGTGGTGACATGGAACGGAGCTTCTATACCGGTGCAACAACTACCAACATGTCTGGTTTTTGGGCGGACAATTTGGTGAAGAGGGCGGGACATGATTGCACAGTTGGAAGATCTAGGTCCTCTTAGGTCTGTTATTGTCCGCGGCAGCTGATGTGGGTCAGCACTCGCCCCTTCGGCCCTTTGGCCCTGTGCCCCCGTGCTGGCCCCCATGACTTCGTCTCCTGGGGGGTCAATTGCCTTGAACCCAACACCAAATACGCTGTCCGATCCAAAACCACGGGGGTCAAGTGGGTTCAAGGTAGTCATGACCATCCCTGGCGCCGACACGCTGGCCGACGCGCCGGCCGACGCGCCGCCAGTCGCACTTTGGATGCCTATGGGGCGCGAACAGCTTCCGCACACCACCGGGCGGGAAAGGCTTTAAGGCACACCATGATGAAGTGGAGGTGCCCGACGGACGGGCGGATGGTGCTGGATGGATCTGGATGGTGTGCCTTTGGACATTTCATTGGCTCATCACTTGTTTTGAGAATGAAGTCATGGTGGACCAACCAGGGGTTTGTGGAGAAGACGAGTTTCCCACCCCGCGAGACTGCCACCCGGGACTGCTAAGCACCGCCATTGTTTCTGGTTCACTGAGCAGTCTTGCGGACGTCGCCCAGACGAAGAAACGGAGTTAGTAGTTGCGTGGATGTGGTTTTGACAGTTGCCCATGATCCACACTAAGGGACTAAACACCACCCCTTTGTGACCCCTGGTGTATTCTGCTGCTTGCGCTTGGCTGAGTGACACCGGCACCACCGGGCCACAGGTCTTCATGTTGCAACTGGAGGGCGCCAAGCGTTGGCGCTTGCACCGATGCCCAGAGGGCCCTTTGCCGAGAAGCTACTGCTGGGACTACGAGGGAAAGGATCTAGGCGACCTCAACTGGGACGGCCAGCTCCATGTCGTGGTGCCGAACTTGTAGGGGGGGTGCCCATGACCCACTGGATGGGGCTAAAAACAATCCCTTTTGGTGTTGGATATTTTCGAAACAGGAGCCCTCTGAATCACAGTGGTTGGGTGCAGGCGGCTCCAGACGTGAAGCCCATGCCTTGGTCGAAGTAGGGTGCTTTATGTTTTCGGCTGCTGGAGCGTTGTTTCACCGGTTCTTTTAAACCGCGTGGAACGCGTGGATGGAAGGGAAGTGCAGCAAGTGCGAGGTAGGATGAGTGTAAAGTGTATGGTTTGATGGCGTGGGTTCGGAAGGCCTACATAGACAGTTCCTCACCCTTTCTCACACCTTCCGCGCCTTCCGCCTTCCGCAGGCGAGCCCTTGATGGAGCTGGTGTTGCAGCCGGGCGATTTGCTCTACCTGCCGCGCGGCACGATCCACCAAGGTGAAGCCGTGGAGGGCCATCCATCTCACCATTTAACAATCTCCACGTACCAAAGGCGGGTCTGGGACGCGGGTCCTCGGTGCCTCGGTTCGGATTTGCGATGGAGGGGTTCCAGGGACATACTCCCCTGCAGATTAACATAGACCCCCAAAACCACAGGGTTGTAGAGGATAATGGCTTTCCACCGGTCAATTCTCAGGTTCCATGTGAGTTTGCGGGAGGGTCTGATGTTTCACGTTTCGCATCACGAAGCAAAGCCCTCTGGGTTTGACCCTGCCCGCCGGAATCATCGTGTCGAACGTTGGGCTTTGAAGTGTCCTCTTCTGAGCCACGAGCTGGGAAGGAACCGTCGCCTGGTGAAGGAAACGTGCGAACGGTCGCTTGGGGTCGCTCGGCGGAGGCACAGCTGGGCGGACTTTCTGGAGAAGGCACTGCCTGAGGCCTTGGCCCGTGCCAGCCAACAGCCAGGCGACAGCCTCTTCCGCGAAGGCTTGCCTTTGCGGTGCTGGTCCTACCTGGGAGAACAGCCACCTAGAGTCCATGGGACGTTTTGTTTTCTTGGAGGTGTGGGTTGGCGAATCGGAATCTTATCCCAGTTTCTTTGAGTTTGGTGGAGGTGTCATGTCATGTCATTTCCA